CGTCCGTCTTTTTGTTTTTGCCCGTTCCTTTTCTGTGTTTTCTTGGTTTCGTATTTCTTTTTTTTTTTCTTCAGTTTTCGTTCTAAATACCATTTGTGTCATGCCGACAGTCCCGGGCCTGGCCTTCAAGTAGCGGGGGTTCCCTTGACTTACCCCCGAAGGTGTAGGCGCGTTAACGGGAAAGGCCCCAAGTACTGGTGGTTTAAATGTCAGAAGGCCAATTCGGCTCTACTACGATCTTTCAGGGGCATTTTGGCATATATAGCATCTCTGGGGGGCATATCGCAAAGTAGCCCAAGTTTCTTTCGGTCCCCCTCGCCGGCTCTTTTTAGATGGGCGACGGCCTTGAGGTATCCAGTGTTCATGGGGCCGCCATCATCCAACTCACGCAGGGGATGCGGAGGAAGTGTAGAGGCATCCATTGTTGATGGGGAGGACGTATGATCGAAGATGGTATAAGATGAATAATAAAGGCACACAGAGAACATCACCATGCCACGGGCCTCTGACCGAGTCAGGATGACTCGCACTCGCACAAATCGAAGGGGAAAAGAAACGAAAACTTGACTTGAGAACCATCCCACCAAATTTCCACTTCATATATTTGAAGCTTTTCAAAAAAAAAAAAAAAAGAAAAAAAAAAAAAAAAATCCACTTCAAATGAGGGGAAGAACAGGAAAAAAATTCCGCTTCGAGCGCCAGCGTGGCCGTGCGACTGTTGGCGCGGGCCAAAGATTTTCCCGCCCGTGTTTCTCTCACTGGATGACGACGGGCCTTGATGCCTCAAGGTATGCCATTGCGGTATTAATTAATAAATAAAATGAATAAACAACGACATTGTAAAACAGTGTGTGTATCGTGAAGGGACTCGTGCACGGGGGTTGTGGTCAGAGATGACTGTGGCTGACCGCCGTGATGTGCATGCAAGTGCTGATCATCCAGCTGCTTTCCTTATCAGCCCACCCACTGGCTTCACGATTCTTTTTCAGCACCCGACGCATTCTTCTGCCGCCGCGGCTACTTCTCCTCCCTCCGGGTCGTCTCTCGCTCTCCATTGCGGCACGCACGTCTATAGAGCGGGGGGCTTTTACTGCGCCAAGAGCTACACCCATCCGCGTTCTCTCTCTCTCTCTCTCTCTCTCTCTCTCTCTCTCTCTCTCTCTCTCTCTCTCTCTCTCTCTCTCTCTCTCTTTCTCTACCGACAAGTAGAGACCTAACTTGTGGTCGGCGGGATCGATTTCATTTGACATCGCCACTTTGTGGATCTGAGGGGTCTCGCTCTTCTGTTCATCGCCTGCGCCGGTTGACGTCCTTCTTTATTTCATGAATGTTGGACCTTGTTGGTTAATATGCGTTTGAGGAAAGAGGGGTCCGTCAGAGGAGTGTGGCGCCACGGTCTCCTAGTTTTGCGCAAGTAACGGACGGCTGCCCTGTGTACGTGCTCCTTTTCCTTCTTGGATGTCATAAGATGATGTGTTTGCTCCTTTTCCTTCTTGGATGTCGCGTATGCCTGTATATGTATCTGTACACGTGTCCATTCAGCCCTTCCAGGGCCTCCCCTCTAAGACTTGTCTTTTTTTTTCTTTTTTGTGTTTCTCGCTCTTACTCTACGGGTCGAATGGGATTGCGAGTAGTTCCTTCAGCGGCGGGTTGACTGTGAGGACCCCAAATGCGTTTTTTTTTTGTCATCTCGCTATTGCTCATTTTCCTTGCGGTTCTTTTTTTTTTTTTTTTTTTTTTTTTTTTATGCGTTTTTTTTTTTTTTTTTTTTTTTAATTGCCTTCAATGCCTCCCGCGAAAATTTGCGTTCCAAATAATAAGAAAACGAAAAAAAAGGGGAATCGCCGCTAGACCACCAGCGATCCTGTGAACCTGGTCGTATCGCAAAGGGAGGAGGACTCTTTCAGGTATATCTACGATGTGGTATCTCGTCGTCCCTAATCATGTGGACTATCCCTGTTAGTTGACACGTCATTAGAAATCCCACTTTTTTATTTTTTATTTTTTTTTATAAAGCTAATATTCCTCACTCAATTTCACCTCACACTACCTACCTACCACTTTTGCTTCTCACAATTTAAATACTACATTTTTCTTTTGTTCTTTTTTTCTTTTTCTCCTTTTTTTTTTTCTTTTTTTTTCCTCTTTCTTTCCCCCCCCCCTTCATACATGAGCCCATGGTTAGCATCCCAGTTTAGAGCGCCACGGGCATCCTTTTATGATCCTTGTGCGGCAATGTCTTCATCCACTCAGCCATGCCTTCCACGAAATACGGAATTTGAATCCGAGACGTCTGTCGTGACAGATAACGTCTACATGCATGATGCCACCACCTCTTCCTGGATTCCAGTGGACTACCTGCTACGCGTCTGCTTGAGAAGTGAAACTACGGTATCGATGATGAGACTCGCTACATGTCTGCTCAAAACGTGAAAGTTGGTCTCAGTACGCAGAATCTGATGAGCACGTTATCTCCAGAGCTGTCGGCTTTTGCATTCATTTCTCGATTATTTATGCGTGTCCCTCCTTGCGCAGGGGCCCTGCAAATCTTCATTCTCTTCTATCGTTCCAATTCTTACGGACGTCCCGAAGGAGTTTTGAGTACATTTCGGGATCCCGGACGTATGTGAACATCAGTCCGTGTTATAATGATGGCCCCCGTGGGCGAATGTATTCACTGTGTCTGATGCATGCTCTTCTTTTAGCGCTTCGTCAACATCGTGCAATGAAACGTTGTTGTTATCACGATGGTCTCCGTGAGCTAACTTCATTTATTCATTATGGGTAATGCATGTTGTTTCTTTCGTGCTTCATGAATATCGTATATAAAAAACGTAGTTGTCATCATGATGGTCCCCGTGGGCGAATATATTCACTGGGGGTCATGCATGGTCCTTCTTTCGTGCTTCGTCAATATCGAGATGAGCAAGAGTGTACGCGACCACCGGATCTCTCTCTCTCTCTCTCTCTCTCTCTCTCTCTCTCTCTCTCTCTCTCTCTCTCTCTCTCTCTC